ATTGGCTGCTTAGAAATTAAGTGTTAAGGAGCAGTTGGACAGGTGTACCTAATAAAGTGGCCGGTGAGTGTAGATATCAGTGTATTGTGGCTCTCTTGTGTTCTCAACAATAGGAAAGCATTCAACAAATATATGTTTGAGCTCATTTTTGGAAAATAAAAGAACCTAATCAAAGTGTTCGGGTGGAATAACTGTAGGTCCATCAGCCCCACATTTAGAGCCCCCCCACCCTTAGAGTGTCCCCACCAACTTTCATCACAAAGTTACACCCTTGGTTCGGAGTTTCTACAACCAGAGGCAGAAAACGCAGCCTTTCACCAAAGCGTAGCCGATTTAATGTGTCCAAAGAACAAGAGTGCATCTTGTTTCATCGAGCCACAGCTATAAGATCTCTGTCTCCACTGTCACAATCATCCAGACAACCTATTGTTACGTTTTCGTCATTTCATAAGAAGGAAAATAACGCATAAATGTTATCTCTCTGAAACTGTCAAAAGAAATCTCTTTGAAACACTTGACAACTAAGTGGTTTTACACGTGGGAGAAATGTGTGCAGGGGGAGACATGAGAGTGTGCGTTTGTCGGAGCTCAACAGCCATCTGGAGCTCCTCCTGGGCTTTGATAACAACATGTGAACAACACCATCATAACACGAGCACGCATGCTGCCATGTAATGGTGTTTGCTCACTAGGCATTGTTTTTTCTCTTTGTTTTCTCAGAACCGACACCTATCCGTATCAAGTAAAATAAACTTCACTATATCATTTGGTATCAGATCAGTAATTCCAGTGTTGAAATGTTTCTATGGCAACAAGTTTAACTCTGTTTCCATGCTGGTAACAAGAAGAGCCAGAAAAGTGTTTCAACCATGATGCTTAGACCTCTTCAAATAATACCTTTTTCATCAAACCTATTGAATTCGATGTTTTTCCCATTCTCCAAGGTCTAAATGAACAAAATATGCCAGTTATTTCTATCTTGGACCTTGGATATGCCTGCCGCAAGAGCCATTTAGTTCGTGTTGACGTTTGTCAAAAACGTCGAAAAATTTGGGGTATTACGTCTTTTTTTTTTCTTTGTAGCTTCCCATAGGTTTCTGCTAAAGCATTGAAAGTGGTGCTAAATGAAAGCTAATAAAATTATCTTGCATATGGTGTCAAACATATAAACACCTGTGTAAATTTTCACTAATTTAAATGCAGAAAAATGCACATTTTGATGCTCGGAACGAATAAAATCATGCGATACATTTCAAAAATGTTACTCATAATTCACATATATCACTTAATAATATGTAATAGGGTTAATTTTAATTAATGTTTGACTGTTGTTGGGCAACTACAACGACCTTAATTATAAATGTTAGACATGTAAATGTTAGACAATAGGTTTGATGAAAAAAGTATTTTTTGAGGAGGTCTAATGATGCTGCATATCTACAGTTCATGCTCATGTACCTGCGGGGATTATTGTGTGGGTACGGAATAACTATGAGCTGAGAGTTGGGAATGATGGCCGTCCACTCCTGTTTCCTCATCTCCTGCAAAGACAGAGAGAAAAAACACATGAAATGAAGATAAACCAAACAGCACAAGCTTCAGATAGAGCTGTCTGCATCACACACATCCTCACTCATATCCAGTCCTCTGACATTAAGTGCTGCTTTCTTATCCTCCTGGTTCCAGCTGAAGCTTTATGTTAAGTTGTCCATTTAGTTACATATATTACTGTGAATCACTGTGATAAAGTTATTTTTATGGCAGTCTGTCAATTCAGCAAAGGCAGATAATACTGTTCTTTATCCAAATAGAAATGTAGAAATACTGACTCCCATCTTTTACACAAAGATTTAATAGCAGAATATCACAAATATAAAACCATTTAGAACTTTTGTCCATTTTTTGGGGGGTCTATAAAACCAATTCGACGTCGTGTATAGAGTGGTTTTCTATTAGAGCAACACTTAGCACATTAATGTAAAGTGGAAGGAAAGGAATCCATGGTTTTATTCTTTTAAACAATAAAAGCAGATAAAACTATAGCGTGCATATATACTAACAAAACAGAACAGTTGTTATTTCATTGCTAATATTTCGAATCTCCACTGCTTAAAACTGACGTTGGGTTCTAGAATGATGGGTTTTTTTTTTTTTGGGTGTGGAGAAAATTAGTTAATAAAAACAGGCGTCTGCGTGGGGGGGGCGCGGCTTGACCGGAGAGAGAGATGCACACACAGATCTGTGCAGCGGGAGATTTTGGTTTGGTTGGATGCTAAAAACTAGTGTTGCGCCGATTCCATTTTTTGGCCCCGGTACCGATACCTGATACCTGGCTGTGCAGTATCGGCCGACACCGATACCATAATAATGTGAAATAATTGCCATCATGACTTTGTCAAGCTGCTGCCTACCTTTGTGAAGCAGGAAGAAATCTAATACGAAGTGAATCCAGTAGAACGTTTTATTGCCTACCAGGTGTGTATGACAATAGTTGAATAAACTTATGGCTCTCAAAATGGTACCGGTGCCCTATTTGTTGGTACTCGCCGATACCGATACCACCGTTTTAGGGCAGTATCGGGGCCCCGTCCGATACTGGTATCGGTGCAACACTACTAAAAACTAGTTTAAAATAAAAGAAGACAGATTAAACTGCAATCAAAGTTGGTCTCAGTGCAACAGAACGGACATTTAGAAACCTGATTGGAGTTTGCACTCAGAGGCAGTGATGGGAGTAACGGCGTTGAAAGTAACAGCGTTTCTAACGCCGCTACCTTTTTGTTAGTAACGAGTAATCAAAATGATTACTCTTACTGTAACTATAACGCAGTTACAATTGC